CGAATCTTATCGCGAAACGATAACGTTAACAACAAGCTGAGAAGACAAGAAGAGAGCTTTCAAAATTGTTATACCGTGCTATCACAAAATCACAAAATCACGCCTCTGCTTCGCAAGCGAAACGAGCAACGCAATACATCAAACAATTTACAATTTGCAGCTTAATATATGCCTCGTACATATATATTACAAACAGCTTACGATTTAGCCGATAATACCTTCTTTTCTTTTTTTTTTTTTTCTTTTTTTACGTGTGTTTTTACTTTCATTTCGCCGAAATGAAACGATCTTCAATTCGCAACAATGTACACGCGCCCGTGATTATAAATATCGAAGAAATAAAAAAAAATCACGAATGACACGCAGTCGACACGCGTGCAAGTGTAAGAGCCAGTGGCGTGGCAAACGAGTGTACGCATACATATATGACATATATCTGACAAATATATACGATATATATATATTTATATATATATGTTCAATTAGCCCTGCGAATCCGTGGTTGTTTTTTCGTGTAACCGTGTCAAGGATAAGTGTGTACGTGTATTCTGTGAGACGATGCAATGAAAAGTAAGTGACGATATCTCTGTGGTGAGAATAGCGCGCTACTGTACATCAGTCTTAATATCAGGGCGCACCATTCCCGTGGATGTTACTCTACGTCCTCAGCGTCCTTCCTTGGTTCACGTGCGCGCACCTCCGCGACTTGTCACCAAAAGGGACACCCGAAGACATCGGGGTGGGCGCCCGACCATGAACCAACGATGTCGCGAATCAATTTTCTATTTCACGTTTTCTTTTGTTATTCGATTAACTGCTTGCTCGATTAACACGAATATAGCGCCATGGCAGTTGAAACCGGTGGGTGCGAAGATGATGAAAAATGAAGGACGCGGTGTTTTGAATACGGTGTGTCTTTCTCGTCTGGATCCATGTACGTGATGTGTGCATGTACGTATTCGCAAACTTGAATTCAACGAAGGGAAGCAGCAAGCTTTGCCACTTCTTTTCTTCGTTGAATACTCGTAAATAAATACGGTGCTTGCCGACACGATATCGGTCCATGTATGTGACCTGGGTGTATGCGTATAATGTAATGTATGCATTTGTAAGTGTGTACATGTACGTGGATGAGCATGTTGTGTGTGTTACGATCGAGTGTGTTCTACAAGTGGGAGGTCGCAGATCTTTCATATATATATAATACAATTAGCATGTAGTATTAAAATCATATACAATTGTTACAATATTTAAATAGTACTTATTACATATATATCATGTATCGATAGTTTTTAAAGGTTTTAGATATACATATACAGATATATATATATATATATTTATATGTATATATATGTATAATCAATTATTTATAGGGTTGCTTAATTGTTCTTCTCTTTCGAATCGTATGCGTTCCCACCGGGAACCCTTTCTTGACTTTGCGTTCTCTGCACATGTTCGTTTCTTCGTCAAGATGTTCGCAAAGAAACTCTCAAGAAGGGGTGGCGTGTGTCCGGGTACAGAAAGGGCGAAAGAGAAAGAGGTGATTGTATCTAAAGTACAAATATTAAAGGCTTAAAGGGAGCGCAAAGGGATATACGTAACGCAACGTGGGAACGCTGTTATATTACTTGCACGATATCTCTGTATATACCGAATCGAGTGCCATTGTTGTGTTATTTGAAGAATGATATACATATAAAACAGTAGTCAATTTTTCTTTCTTCGTGTGAATTCTGATTGACCGATAGATCCTTGTCGTCGCCCCTTTTAGCGAACAATTATAATTACAAGAAATTTTTCGGCTGGGGCATTTTGAATCGAATTTAGACCGAACGATAAAAACATCCGCTTGTCAAATGCTGTTCCGTGTGATTCATTATATACAGGGATATTACGATACGAAGATGCCCCTTTGATAACGTGTTCGGCGTGCGCGGAACTTCATAAATACGAATTGTGCAGCGGCGAATTTCAATGACCTTTTCATCCGATTCGATTGCTGGATTTGGAAGTTTTACACGCCTTCTACTATGGTTTACATTTTTTGTTCTTTTCTTCGTTACAACGGCAAGAGCACAAGTTCGATCCTGTTTGCGTTACAAATCCCGCGATTCGGATCCTTTGTTAACAAAATTTTCCATCGCTCGTCGACGAATCGTGTAATCGCACAGAAATTTACAAAAAGATATACCAAACCGTGTGTACAGAAATACTGAATAATGTGTATCGCACTTTTACATATTTTACAAAGAGTACACGCTCTCAAGAAACAGGATGTACACAGTACGATTCGCTATAGCTAGACAAATTTTGCAGACGGATCTGACGGATCGCGCGACTCGTAATGCAAGGAAACGAACGAACGGCGAAAGAATACCAAGTTCGAAAGTTCAAAAAAAGATCGAAAGACCGTGTGTATAATGTTATGTGTATATCGTGAACATGTAATTCCGATTTTTCCATCTTTTCTCAGCGTTTTCTCTCTTATTTTATACACGGTGCACGCGCACATCGTAGAAGTCGCGCAACCAATAATTATTCCATCATTCTCGCGCTATATAAAAAATTTACACTATTTATAATCAAAAGTCGTTTACGAATTTTTTTCTTTTTATCCATTCCTCAGAAGCTTAAGTAGAGATGTATATATATGTAACACGACAGCAATAAGGTAGTCAACCTATCGCTAAATGTTCGCACTAAACTGTTTCTTTCTTTTTCGGTTTTTTCTTTTTTTCATTCAACTGGAGTAAAGAATCGTACCATTTCTTTTTGAAATGTTTTCGAGAGGACAAAAATGAGACTGCCGGAGCAGAAAAAAACGTGTTATGTACCATATGTATAAAGCATTATATGCGTGAGCTTGTTATGCTTGTTTATATATGTATATATATATATATGTATATATGTATATATATACCCGGATATATATAAATATATATACATATATTTATGGATGTGTGTATATATATGTATATATTATATATACATATATAAAAGTGTGTATCTAGTAATCATTAGTAATAGCAATAATAATCAGTAGGGGGAAGGTCGTTAATCAAACAATATTGTTGATAATTATAGCAATAATAAGAATAAGAATAATAATAAAAATAAGAATAATAATAAGAATGATATTAATAATAATAATAATTATAATAATAAAAGTATAATAATAATGAATAATCTTAGCTGATAAGACATGAGATTTTGCGTTCGACTTTCGCTTCTGTTGTGTGACTCTTCGATATTCATATTTTGTGTTCATATTTTTTTCGTTTCCTAACTCGACAGGGTGAGATTGATTATCGATGGTTCTATTACAAATGAGATGTTGAATTCCGACGTTTAATTTACAGATGATACGCGCGATTTACACGGATGAAGGAACTATCGTCATTCCTTATTAAATATTAATAATAACGTTATGTTAACGTCGCATATTTATGTAATCCGCGTTTTAAAAACGGCGAAGTATCCTGTCGACCAAGGGTGAGAGAAGTGGCGGTTGGAATGTCTCTGTCCTGTATATGTTGAGTTTTCTTTCGTTTTAGTTATATCGTACATGTGACGCTATTTTATCATTTTCAATTTCCGTTTTTCTTTTTCTCTATATCCTGGATATTTTTTTCTTTCCTTTTTCTATTTGCGGCTCCAAAACGAGCAGCCTCCTCTCAGCGATTTCCGAAAAGATCGAATCCGAGTGAGGGGAACGGTAGCCCGCGTACGTTATCATCCTTTCTCCACGAGTACCAGTAGTACCGATCGATCCATTTACCCAGAGAATACCGGGGTCAGATCGAGCAAAGAAAACGGAAAAAAAAAACCAAACGATCGTTAAAAATCTCACGAATACTGCGCCTCACGCACTTCCCTTCGAAACATTTTCAATCTTTTCCTCCCTACTCTTGAATCTGTCGCGTGAGCATTGCTGTTTAAGCAATCTGCCCGCGATTAAGAAAGGGAAAGAGAGAAAGGGTTTACCTAAAAATTTGTCAATTTCGTTAATAAATCGTTATTTACAATATCGATTTACAAAATTATTATTTACAAAGAAAGCGGCTATGTACCTTCCACCTCTTTCTTTTTTGTTCTTTTCACTTCTTTTCGTTTTCCTTTTCTCCCTATTTTTTTCCTTTTTCTTTTTCGTTTTCTTTTTTTCTTTTTTTTTTCTTTTTCTTTTTTTTTTTTTTTTTGTACAAAATNAAAAAAGGAAAGAGAAAGAAAAAAATTCTCTAAGAACAAGCTACAGATTCTTCCAATTTTGCCTACGTAGCTTTGATTTTTATTCCTCGAGGAATACGTCCTGAACAAATAAAAATCCTGCGCACGAGGTATTCGTGAACGTCGCCGAGAAAGATTAAAAGTCATGCGGTAAACTGTACGAAAGACTGTTTCGAACAGGCATGATGAAACTGATGATCTCGATCGATGAACAACTTCATCACCGAGTTTACAAAATCTTTAGGAACATAAAGTGTCTTACAAAATGCATAAAATGTATATGCGATGAATGAGGCTAATCTTTGAAGCGATTAAAGGTTTCCAGGATCACAGAGAGGAAAAAAAAAGATACGAGAAAATACAGCAATGCGAAAGTTCGATAAAAAGGTACAAGTACGATGTTACTGAAAACAGCTGAGAGGCGCTCTTTCCAACCGTCTTGTGTGACCAGTATATATAATACAATCGAAATGCTTGATGTGTACAACATGTTTTCTGATGTGTGAACGTGTAAAAGGATAGGGAACGAATGGCGCGAAAAGATATAGATACACACGCATTGGGAACATTAATTTCCTGACGTTTTTTTCTTCTTTTAAAGAACGCGTTATCATTTATACAATATACAATGGATCTCGGTTACGTTCAAAAATCATCGCGACCATCGCGATGGCTGCAATTTATTTAAAAATAGAAGAAGGTTTTGAGGGATTTGGATCAGAAGGTGGATAGGATTTTTAAATGAATCCGCGAACGTAAATGATTCCTTTTTTTCCCCTTTAAAACATCTCCTTTGTCAAAAATCTTCATATTTTATAAGTGGAGAAAAGTATAAGCGAATGTATGGTGCCTGCATATATATGAAGAGGGGTATCATCGATGGTTTGGTAGAAATCATTTTTCAAATGGCAGGAGAATGGGAAATATCAACGTATATCGATCAGGGGTCAGCAGCATTAGAACGTAAATCATATTTAAATTTAATATAATTAGTAATTATTATAATACACGATATTCACAAAGTCCGTTAAAAAGGAGAGAATTCCCGTGAAAAATAAAATATTCATTGAATTTACGGTTCCTCACGATAGAGTTTCACGTCGTACCTATACACATTTGTTATTTATTTATATCACAATTTACAAAATTCGAGGATCTCGGGAGGGGGAGAAAGAAGGAACAGGGCAAAGGGATAAAGGAGAAAGGGAATGCAAAAAGGATCTAAGAGAGTAAAAAAAAAATGCGTTTCACGCACCAGAGCGACAAACGTAAAAGTGAACAAAGGAGAACCGTACTAACGACTTGATGTCTCTTCTTATTGTTTTGTTTCTGTCTTTTAGTTTCGTTTGTATCTCTTGCTAAATTCTGTCTTCAGGAAAAACTACGCACATATACATACTGATTCATTTTTCAAGTTTCTCTATAAACGTAAAACGAGTAATAAAATCGATTTCTCTTTCTTTCTTTTTTTGTTCTTTCTTTTACCAACAATTTGAAGCAATCAAGGGGCAGATCAGCGGTCAGGTCAGGGATACTCAGCTTCATTCCCATGTCAAACGCTATGCTAGATTTAATCAACATATCTGTAGTTCCTAACTTCTATCAAATCTGAACCGATATCGATTCGTTGATCGGTCGTATACCGCACAAAAAGATAATACTACTTTCAGCGTGCAAAGATAGTACGGTAGACTTGCGATCAAGACATCTCGTGCATGGTGTTTTACGGCCATCGCACTTTCATAACAACTCGATATAAATGCATGCAGCTCTAAGATCTATCCTAGCTGTCTAAACATATTTTTCTCTTCTTCGGAGTTTTAGTTGTTATTACCGAGTTTTAATCATGACGAGCCGTACACGACTTATTCAACTTCTCCTGCTCTTTCATTGTTTTACGCTTTTCTCACATGTGCTTAAATGTTTGCCAGAGGACAAAGTTACACCTTTCAAAGTGCTGAGTTTAAAAAGAATCATATGTTAAATATATTTTTACTCAAAATTAGGGGAGAGTTTGTTGTAAATTTGTCGGAATTATGGTGCCTTTAAAACTGTTCTAAATTCATTGGTAAATGAGTGGCGTTTAAAAGACAATCAGCCGTCTCAGCACTACAGTTACTTTTAACGATTGATGGAAGCTTATCGAAACCGTTACGGAGAAATCCGAATACTCGAACGGTATTAATGCAACTGTCGTGACATTTTAATGTAAATCGCTATGGATATATTACTCGGCAGCACATTGGATTACTAATAGAAAAAATGCATTGCATTTCTAACGTTGCTCTAGAAGTTGATTTTTCCTGACATACACTTGACCTCAGAATTTGTTCTACTCGTGCCGTAATTTCACGTTGTCCATTCTTGTGAATCTGTACAAATTGTCAATGTCTCTCTTTCTTTTTTACGGTTTTACAAAAATAAGAAAAATTGTTTTGGTAATTCCTTTTTTTCATTTTAAATGGATTCGCGCATCTTCTTATTTTTTCTTTTTTTTTTTCTTTTTTTTTTCTTTCAGCTTTATAGCTTCAAGAAAAGACAACGTGACATACAACACCATCGAAATGCATTCTTTTTCCTTTTCTCGTCCATTAAAAATTCAATAGCGATACGTTGCATAAATATTACGTAGGTCTTGGTACGTATTTCTTTAAACGTACAAAGATCCTCAAGTTGTTACTTTCCGAAATCGTACGCTTATAAAACCTGCGTTGGTTGCTGAGCTGGTGTAGATACTGGACCAGCAGCAGAAGCAGGCGGTCCGATAGGACCAAGATCACCTCCACCACTCGAAGCACCAGCAGGTGTTGCTACCCCCATTGCGGATGCAGTTTTCATGAAGAATTTCTCTAACTTGACAATGATGTGCTTGCCATAGGTGTACTTGCGCAAGCTACCTAAATGCGGGCGGATCTTGTGCATCAATACTTTTCGTTGTGCAGGTTCTGCTACATCGATCATTTTCTGAACCACGTAGTTGGCATACTGATCCTTCATCATGACGTTTAATGCGCTATTTCGTAACAATATACAACAGTATGCAATTAGTAACAAAATTGCAACAAGAGAAATATCGGAAATAAATCTTGTCAAATACTGAAGTTTCATATACGTCGCGAAACTTACTTGTCGTTAAATCCGCATACTTCTTCAATGAGTACGGCACGCTCTTGTCTTGTAGCATGGGTCACACATTTTTCAACGACGTTGCTTGCAAATTTATGTTGAGAAAGAGTAAGTACTTTACCCCTAACACTGCTAATCAATTGCGCTTTATCTTCCGGTTTTCCATGTTCTTTAAAACAAATACACTCAAATGAGCTACTTTACAGGGAAAGGAAGCGTTGAATATATTTCCAAGTAACGACACTTACCGAGCACATGCTGGATCACGTAATTACCATACTGATCTTGAATGAGCTGATCAGTAGCAGCATGTAATTCTTGAAGAATGCCCTGAGTTTGTTCAGGGGTACAGTGCTCGAGAATACGTTGGATCACTCTGCACCCATAAGGATGAGTACTCAAGGAATACACCTGACCAGCAAATGCTCCGATTACGAACTGCAATGCTCGTGGCTCCACGCATTCGATACATTTTTGTACAACATGATTTCCATTTTGATCTTTAACGCATTTCAATACGTGGCCGTCCAGCTCTCGAACAATTTCTTGCTGTTGTTCCGGTCCGATCGATTCGAGAGCTTTCTGAATCACTCTACAACCGTACATCTGCAGTGCCAAGGGCAGTACGTGTCCTCGAACCTAACACCAAACACAATTAATTTAAAACTGGCAAAGTCCAAAAAGTGTCTTCCCTTAATTACTTATTTTCGAACAATTCAGGTACAACTATTTTCGATCAGTGAGAATCAGTTGACACGCAAAGGTAATCATCATTCAGGATATCCATAACTGATTCACAACTAATACCAAACGTGATAATTACCTTTTGGGCAAGGGTGGATTTCTGTTCCGGCGTACCGAACTCAAAGAACTTCTGAATAACATAATTTCCGAAAACATCGGTCATCAATGAATAAGCAGAAGTAAGGATCTCTTGGAACACAAGCTGCTTCTCGCTGGCGGAGGCACGTTCTAATTTCTGCTGAATAAAACGGGAGCCGTGCTGATCTTGACTGAATTCGACTATGTGATTGGCCAGATCACGTAGCTGAAGACTCGGGAATCTAAAGCACATGAGAATACGCTCGTAATATAAGCTGCGCCGCGAGGCAACGCGATACGAGTGTCCTCGAGTGATAAGATCGGAAAGCACGTACCGATTATTTCTAAAGTCTTCCAACAAGCGGGATCGTCCGCCAGCGTTTTTGTCCCCGATGCTAGTCGTACCACCGCGGCCAGGTTTGCCCACCAAGTTCGGGAAAAGAGAACTACTTGAACCGAAAACCCCGTTCGCTGTTAATGCCGGTACAGCGCTAGCACGGAACTTGGCTTCAGCCCCGGGAGCAGCGGATACTCGACTGGGACCACCGACGAGTCCGCCTAAAGACCCACCCAAAGTTGGCGGCGGTGTTAAGGATAATCCTAATGGGCTTGGCGATGCCGTTACCGTGCCTGCAAATAACATCCAGCAACTAGGTAAGCAACTGTATTTAACGAGTATTATGTATACGGCGTACAGAGAGCAGCGGATCAGTACTCACCTAGGGCTCCGTAACTCTGAGGCCACTTTGCGCGACTGTATTCCAAGCTAGGGCTGAAAGCGGACGTGTTTCTATCGAATGAATCTCTTCGTGCAGTTGATGAAGCGCCGAGGCCTAGACCTGCGAACAGGGAACAAGAGACGCAAGATTTTCAAAAGCGGAATCTCGCCGAGAGACGCAAGACGCATTTTCGAGAGATATCTCTTCTTGTTTTAAATACAAAAGAAAGAACGGAAAAAAAAAACGTCACTAGGAGGATACACGTTCAAAATGACAATGGTGTGTGTCAAAAAACAAACGATAAGGCTCTTACAAAAGCATGCAAACATATGCGGCCGTTATATATACAAAAGAGAAAATGAAGACACCGTCGACGCCTGAAACTGAAACGTCCGTCGTTTCGAAAGATTTCGTGTTGGCTTTTTTCGTGTTGGCTACGAAATGTGTACCTGTGCTCTGAAGCTGAGCGGGCGAACCCAACGCTCCCAGAGGGGAGCCGCCATATCCTAGTGCCGCTAAACCTGCGGCTAGTCCTGATCCTTGCTGCTGTGCCTGCTGCACCGCGACTGCTTGAGCCTGTGCAACCACTGCTGCTGCACTGCACGCCGCCAGACCTGCACCAAAAGCCCGCAACCCACACACGCTCTTAGTTATCAATTAATTTGCAGTACCTTACCGACCTTATACCGTCTATAAGCCTAGCGGTACACCGTTCCAACACATACACACGCACGCTTCCGGTATCGACAACGAGTTCTTACTAAACATTTTTTAGTCACGAGGTTAATAATAATACGTGGCGTATTGTACACGTATGTACAAATAACAAACAAGTTATTCGACGTTAATATATATGTATAAATATATGTATATATATATGTACGTATATCTATAACTATTCTTTTTTTTTTTTTTTTTTTTTCAAAAAAATTCGTCGACATATTTAATCATGTGCCATGCATATGTATAGATTATACATGTATATATATTATATATCACGTAGGACAGAATCAATATATGTCGGGAAAAAAAAGAAGTAACACATATCTACAATACCGATGAGCAATCCGGATATATTTAATTACAATCTTTACGACTGCATGTCTTTCTTACCCAAACATTCACCGGGCGTTGCATTACTATGAGACGTAGGGGTTGGTTGAGAATATAGACTCGGCGGTGGTGGAGCTGGTGGCCCCGGTGGTGGCTGTGACGGAGCTCTATTTACCAAAACAGGTGCCGGACTGACTAATCTCATGGGAGTCGCCGCCGAGCTCAATCCCCGTACTCCGCCCATCACGATGGATCCATTCTGATCGTAATACGCCGGGATCACCTGATACTGTCCCTGAACCTGTCGAAACGTTCGGATAAAAGTTAGGACACCGTGTATCGTTTATCAGGATATACCTAGTTCGAAAGCGCCGTATTCTAGAAATAAATTCTGAAATTTGTAGCCTCCATTGTGGGCTGACACAGAAACGTAGGGACGTTAATGAGCTGGCAAATTGTTGACCGAAGTTTATATTTAATCCCCACGGCCAATCTTAATCGAGAAACGTTCAAGAGGCGAAATACAGATGAGAGAACTTTGCACAACACGGCGCGAGGCGATACATATATTTCAGCAATAGCTGAAACTGCGTCGCGACAATAGGATTTATTTCTAAACACATGCGGCTGATCCGAGTGTCCCATTGGAAAGCGGACTAATTATTAGCTTGCTTACAGTCTGGGCCAAATTATTTGCAGTGTCTTGAGCGGCAGCTGCCGCGGCTGCGGCCGAGGATGGTGTCAGCGGTCGCCTGGGTGGCGGCGGGGCGGCAGCTTGAGGAGGTGCCTGCGGCAGCAATCCGGCTGGATAAACCCACGGCGCGACTCCATAATACTGTGGCACCACTGGAGGAGGCGCACCGGCTATCAATGCCCCGACGTACGGTTCCTGCCCGCTGATCACGGTATACGGCGCCGTGGGAAAGTTCTGTTGTTGTTGCTGTTGCTGTTGCTGCTGTGCTTGCGAGGCAGCCAAATACTGCTGTTGCTGCTGCTGCTGTTGCTGCTGCAGCAGCTGCAACTGCTGCGGCGTGGCTCCTTGAGGCTGGCTTCGGAACAGTTGCTAAAGAACAGAAAGGGAGAAAAAAAAAATTCGTTAAGCGTAATTTTACTCGTTTTTCTTTCACGGTTGCGTGCACTCGTCGGCAATCACTCTGCCGACCACTATTCAAGATATACCACGCAGAGCGCGAGTGGCTCGTTGTAATTTCACGTCTTTTCGTGCTAATACCTTTTTCACGATATATCGGTACGATTTAATTATTACTATATCGATTATTAATGAAATGGTAGAGACGGCAGCCACCGTCTTCCACTCGGTTCTATAGTTACAGGAATGCGAAAGAGATATGCGGGCTAACACAGTCGGGGACAGAGACGCCCCGGCTACCATCGTGAATTTTCGAACGATACGTGACAGGCGTACGAAGCATTACAAATGACGTCAGCTCGTCCTCATCGTCTTAATTTATTCGACAATGCCCGGCGAACATTTACCGTGGAAGTCTGGGCAAAACTCCAATCGCTTCGGACGGAGATTAAACTGTCCGAGGAGTCGGAGAAAACCGGCCGATTGAATTGTTGGTCGCGCAAATCTCCACACGACGGCAACGGTAATCGGTGTGTTTCGTGGCTCGATGACGACATCCTGTTACAGGGTGAGAATCGAGCCGGGCCCAGCCAGGTTTCAAGTTTCGGATCAAGGTCGGAAGAACATGGGAGCGAGAGAAAGAGCCCGGTGAGCGGGTCTGTCCACGTCCACAGATACCGGTGTAGAACCAACGTTAAAGCCGTAAACGACTAAGGCCTGGTTGGCCTGGGTCGACGACCCCCTGCGGACGTTCACCGACAAAACGTACGTCTCTACGTTACCGGTACTTGCTCTGGACTCTAATTGACCGACAAACACGATACGGTTTGACCGTGGATGGGACCTGGACTCTTCTCCAGGCCAGAGCATCGCGCTTGATCCAACTTTCTCTCTTTTTATCGATCGGTCGAATCTTCGTGCAACTAGAGACGGCCGGGAGAGACTGGAATTTTGGCCAATTTTGACAGACCAATTTCACGACAACAAAAAAAAACAAAACAAAAAAAAAACCTATCTGAATACAACCTATCGAAATACAGAGGAAGCACGAGGTTCGATCGAACTGCATCGGTCGTTACGTCAACGTTAATTGCCAGGATTGCAGTACAAATTACACGACGCTATTACGAATGAATGGTCTCTAGCGTCAACGTTTCAGTTACCCATGGAAGAATGCATCGGCCTTTTGTCGAGCAATTAAGCTTTACTCGTTACAAACTGGGACCACCCATGACTTCTTTTTTCTTTTTTTCTTTTTTTCCTCCCGCGCCGTCATTAACTTCGACGATAAAAATTATCCCTCCAGGTCCCTTAATGAACACAACGATCTGCGTCTAAATAAATAGGCATTGTTCTGGAACAGGTTGTTGCTCCGCGGGAGCATAGAGAAACTTGAACCATTCACGACACGCTCTAGCCCTCCGAGTCAGCGATGCGTTTCGGGTATTAACCTCTTCCGGAAGTGGCTCGAGCTTCAGTCAAGGCCACGGTTACGTTCGGTGATTGTTCCATGCGCGAACCTTGGGGATCTTTCTTCTTCTTTCCTTCCCGATGCTTCTCTTCTCGCTCGAGATTCATCATATTTTCAAAGAACGATAAAATGAATTTGATCGAGATACCACGATAAATTTACCGCGACTGATTTTAAAGATCGGAAGAAAGTGATTTTTAAAGAAACTAGGAGGGACTTTCATCTAGCTACACCAACGATACGCAATGCAGAAAATCTTTCTGACAACGGGGAATTCGGGGAGAGACTTAAGGTACTTCTCCATTTTTTTCTCTCAAACAGTTGAGCGATGCTCTCGGACAGTAACTCTCAGAAACCATTTGCAAGAAATACTCTCGAGAGCAACTCGCGACAGTTTTACTCTTAAATGGGGAAGTAGCTTTAGTTGCGATCAACTTCGACGCACATCCAAACCGATGTAATACTGAGAGTACATAAAATCGACGAATGATTTTGTTTTACCTCGAGAGACCTCTTTCGATTTCTTACATATTTCAAGAAAAGCCGCAGTTTGATTCACTAAACGACGGGTGATTGATACTACACTCTTAATATTTATTCCTTTTACGGTCGTGTTTAATAACACCGTGCTATCTTATCGCTGGCCTGATTCATGTACAGTCGCAGGGCATATATGAGTAACAGCCAAGCACTTCAAACCCTGCCCTGCCTCTATCTTTCAATCTCATCGGACGATTAAGTTTCAATTACTTAACACGCTTCGATTCTCAATCCTTCAACGGGTGTGTCAGAAAATCAGAGATTACGGCAGCCTATCGCTTGGTCAGCAAAAAAAAGAGACACGAAGAGGAAGAGGAAGTAGATCGTATGGCGCGGCTGACACACGCCGAATGGTTTACCGTAATAGGAAAGTGTAGAAAAGAACGATCGAGAGGCTACTCAATTCACAGAGCAGTTTTGAATGGAAGTTTGCAGCCAGCAGCCATTACCGCAGAAGTCATTAGTGCCCTCAAACGGGAAGAGGTGAAAACGAACGCCTAAATGGAAATCACGGTGATTGCGTTGAGGGAGAGAGGGAGAGAGAGAGAGAGAGAGAGAAAAAAGAAGAAAAAAAGAAAAAAACAAGAAAAATGGGGTTGCGCACGCTCGACACAGAACCGGGGGGAACGGGACCGTTTGATTTTGGGCAAGGGTGGGAAACAATGGCCGGGAACATTGTTGTAGGCGAGAGAAGAGGGCTGTGGGATACGTTCCTGGAAGTGTGACTCACTGTTGAATACGTAAGGTTTCCGCCGGCGGCTTACAAATCCATGCTACAATACCAGGCCTATTGATTCCTGCTCTCCACACGCTCGAGTATCCACACCGGTGAAGAGAGAATCTGGCACGAGTCGACCGTGACAATCGTTGCCAGATTTTTCAAAAACCCTCCGGGCATTATCCGTCCTTAATGGCTGGTGGCACTCGAGTTTTCCGCTCGTACGACCGCGATCACGTTGGATACACGGTCCGTGCGCCTGCGATTTCCCGGCTCTTTGTTTGCTAATCGAACGCGCGCAGTGTCGGAATCCGGTTTAAAAATTTCAGAAATCACGTGTAATACTGTGCACCATATAACTCTGCACCAATGCTGTCATTAAACTTCTCTAAATATAAATTCTCCGGACTTTTAGTTTGATAAATCTTACGTACCATCCTAAACATAGGATGAGAAGGGAGAGAAAATCTCACGAAATTCTGCCCCCTCGGTGCACAATTATCGCAAAGGTAGGATCACATAGGCAAGCAATTGATTCAAAGCGATTTCAGGATAAGCGGTGGTTGATCATTCGATAATAGCCGAGCTCGTTCGGGTTCGCGAAGAAGTTAAACGGCATAAATTAAGCCTGACGAGGTTCGCATAAGAATGCGATCCATCTTCTTTGTAGAACAGGTATTTTAACACGTGTTTAAAGTGAGCACGTCCCGAAAAAAGACGATTTGTCCCTTATTAAGTTTCATTGGACCGGCAAAGTGCTAAAGAGGCGAGCTCTGGCGCGCAACCGCCGCCTCCAGTGCCAGAGGAATTACGTCCAGCGGAGGAGTCGACGGTAGAATTGGCGAAAAGCCCGAACTTCGATTACCAACGGGGCAAAAGCGGTCCACAGCCGGCGTAATCAGTGATATAAGAACCATTAAGCGAGAGATATTCGTTACTAAATCCCTCGCAACGCGGTCGTGAAAACGGGTTTAGACCGTAGAACGAACGGAGGGGGGGTTCAACGAACTTTCGAGCGTGCTCGTTTGACTTTCAAAACGGCGTGCTTCGAATGGTAACTTGAACATTTATACCACACGAACCGCCTCTTTCTTGCGGCGCGCGCGAACCATCGCACGGAGGAACAATCGATCGTCGAAATTTTCGACGCGGCGCGGTAAAAGCAGAAAAACAAAGCTCGACGCGAAATTTACGACTGGCCAGCCAGCCGACGCTGCAAATAAAATAAAAAAGAAAGAGAGAGAGAGAGAGAGAGAGAGAGAGAGAGAGAGAAGAAAATTTCCTCGTTCCTTTTCTTTTTGTCTATCGGTTTCACAGGTGAACAATCTAGCGGCGACATCGGCGCGCTTTCGACGTGGCAGGACGTGCCAGCAACGTGGTGCCCCCCCTCCTCCTCAGCAACAGAGAAGGAAGAGAAATCGTTTGGACGTGCAACGCGATAACTTCTATCGTTAATACGTGTGGCGTGTTGCGCTTTGCCCCTTCGTGTGTTACACGCGTAAACTCTGCGGAAAAAAGATCGATGTAATACCGGCATGTAAACGGGTCTCGAATCGGAGCATGCATCCGCCACCAGCACTGGCGCGTTTTATCGTTTCATGCATTGTCACAATCGCGAGAGAAAACTTTGATAACGACGCGGATATCGCGCCGCCGCACGCCGCGCGCCGCTCGCCCCCCCCCCCTCCCCCTCCCATCGTTGTTTCGATAACGCCGTTTTAGTTTCGCTTGACACCAGCATCAGCATCGCCGCCCAAACATTCAATTCTCAACGCGTTACGGTTTGCCGATCGACCGCGACGCGCCTGACACGTTTATTTCTAACCTGACGCGCGCGACCCAAGTCCTCGGAACGTGTCGATAGATCTTTATCATCCTCGAAAGGTCAATATACATAGTTCATTCAATTACTCTGTAGCGCGAGTTACCCCCCGCCGATTTCAAGACGATTTCATACATTTGGAACTACTACTCTTTCGATCAGTTTCGGGTATCTCGAAATAATCTCTAAATTTGCAAATTTACAGATCGAGAGAGAGAGAGAGAGAGAGAAAGAAAGAGAGAGTGGAACGTGGCTGTTTGCGCAATCGATCTTTCAAGATCGCGTCCGCTCGTCCGGAGCGTGCTTTTCAATGCGCGATCGATGCTGACGTCAGGGAGTTAACTCGAAAATGGGTTGCAACTAAGTATCGATAGACAGGGTTATACGCTCCGCGCTGGCCTTGTAATGTCACGCGTACCTCT